AATGGAATTTTGGCCACACACAGAAAATAATAATTTTTGTCAAACTTTCATGACTTGGTTAAACAAATTTGGCAGTTATTCTACTATCACATATTTAAATTGCGATTTTAAAAAACGTCAATTTCTAGCACAGGAAAATTGGAAATACCCTTGAAGTCTCCGACCTCTTCATGACATAAAATAATCGAAATGATAAAATAAAACAAAGCGCAAGAGAGAAGTGAGATTCTAGTATTTAAAAAATGCCTACAAGATATTTCGAAATATCTGGTGTGAAAATCGTGAAGCTATAACCATATATGGTCACTTACCCATTCATATAATAATTATTCTAAATCTACCGAAAAATTTTTAGCGACCATAATACTGCCGTCATAAATGAAAAAGCCGTATGCGAAATAATTTGGTACATTTTCGAAATACTTATGGTTGAAGAAATATATTCTACTTTACAATTTCACACTGTATATTGTTAAATCATTGGTTCTTGAGATTGTGATGAAAATGCCTTATCCTACTTCAATGTTTATTGGCTTCCTGGCCTACTGGTAATGCCTCTATTTCAAATTTTCACAATACTGATTGTTTAAAAAAATAAAAAACTTGAAAACCTCAGATATTCTTTCTTGCTTTCATACTTCAAATAAATCTATTCAAATATAGATCTTTCTTCTAGGCTGCCATTAAAGAGCGAGTTCTCAGTTTTGACGCAAAATTTCTGTTCTACATGACAAATACAGTAAAACCATTGATAAAATTACATACTTGGCAACGCTTCAATGGGAACTAGTTTCTCCCCCGACTATTTATTTATCGCTACCAGCGCGAGATCAATTTGACCAATTTTGACTGCAAACGGAGCCAATTTGCTTCAACGCTTTCAAAGATGACTGCGTCTTCGGTCAATATAAAGACTTCAACTAGATTAACCCAAAACCAAAACGAATGAAAATAACTTGCAATATCACAATTCCTGATGCATGGCGTGTCGTCTCAAACAATAAGCCCACCAAGTCGCAAGAAAATCAAAATAGGGTATTCTGAGATATTAATAAAAAAACACTATAACTTTGTTCCTAATTTCAATGAGTCGTACATATGACCTGAAATATGTTTGGCAGATTATAACTGAAACACCGTGTAAACCAAGACATGGTAGAGTTTTTAAAATATTCAGTCAGATAATCTGATCAGTTGCCAGACTGAAACGCTGTATACCTTTCCATGAATTCACCACCAACTCTAATATCACAAATCAGGCAGATTTTGTGTGACGAACAGCGCAAAAGCAACAAAAAACCTTTACCGCACATACGACCTTCTCCTGAAAGGTAAGCTCACGCTTACGCGAAATTCGCAAAATTTATGCGAATAAACTAGCGGCAAGTGTTTATACACACCCCAACAAAGTATATTATATACAGGTTGATCTTCCAAAGTGGCTCAACCCCCAAAACTTTTTTATTGTTGAAGGTAGTGAAACGAAATATTCGGGGGTTGTGAATTATAGGTCAATTGACATTTTTTGACCCATCTACTTGCTTTGCCGTACTTTCGGTTTGACCAGAAAGTACAAATTTTGCGAGTCTTAAGGCGTTTTCGGAAACTTACTCTGGGTTAACTCGATCCAGAGAGGTCACGTGACGTGTCAGGTTAGGAACACAGAATTTAATCTTTCAATTCAAGTACTTATTTGATATTACAAATATTTATGTCTACCTGATGATTGGTAGACTTGTCTCATATGTTGTCGCACATTACTTTCTATGCTCATAAAACCACAAACTTGACATCAACCCAAATTCTCTGCTCTATGAATTACTAAATCCAATTATGGAGATTAAGAAGAAAATTTATATCACCGATCGAAATATTTCCCAACATGCAAACCATTTTATTATTATATTGTTGTCATGGAGTGGTAAACTCCAGCGTTTTTTGATTTTACATAAATTACGTATACATTGGTAATGCTCATGCAGTGTCCTTTGCAACTCTGAGACGTTTTTCATTCACATACCCTGTTGAACCCAGTTGAAGTATTTAGGGTCAGGTGGTGGGAGACACCTACGTCATAATGAGGTCAACATCAACCGTTTCCAACGATCCTATTTCTTTCACATATTTTTGGTCCCTCTTGTTGCCTAAAATTGATTTCTAATTTCAATGTTAGGATGACATTTTCCATATTTTTTTGTTTCGAGGTTAGAGTTTTGAAAACCAAATCGATCTATGACACAATACGTTCGACATCAACCAACATAACCAACGATTGAGTTGGTGACGCTGAGGCAGATAGGGGAGGTTGAACCAAACGGAAATGACGTCATGGAAAAACACAATGAAATGGGATTATCAACTTCAACCGTGTCGGTTAATGTGAATGAAAAACGCCTCTGGCGACCCTGCTTTTGAGTAGGGTCACGAAAAACCAACCCAAGTTAGCAACACCACAGTATATTATCCTTTCACTCACCAACACTCAAGTTTCTGAACAGAGGGATCCGATCAACTCGAGTACGTTTCCGAAAACGCCTAATTTTAACCCACCAACGACCTGTCAAATGACGTGATTATGGAATTATTAATGGAACATTGGAACATTAGGCTTTTTCGGAAACCTACTCGGGTTGACTCGATCCTCAACCTGCACGTTCGTTTACCTAACCCGAGCTGCCTACCCGTGTTCCCAAACTTCGGTGTTGCCTACTTGAACACTAACTCAGGTATTTTATTTTCCTCATTTCATTTTGTGTGTTGTTCGAGCTAAATAAATCATGAATAAAAGTAAAATTGAAATCTTTCTACACGTTTTTTTGGATTCCCACCGGTGGCAGTAGAATTGACGATCAATAAAACTATGTGATACATTTTGAGAGTTGTGATATTCAGCATCTTTAGGTGTTATTCCGGAATCTTGCTGTTCATCCGTGGATAATTATAATTATAATTTATAATGTTCCCGATTTCTTGTTATCCTTCTTAGTAGGTGCATCGGTTAGAAGGCAAAATACATTGATAGTTATCAATGAAATTGGCCCCTTAAGATTTGAAAGGATTTAATAATTGTATGAGTCTGTTCATGTTATCTACAGGAATACTCGACTACATTTGCGAACAACTCCAAAATATTTCCTGTAGCGAGTTCACTTTTAGACAATTTTTAAGTCACATTTCGGGGTTAGAGTATCTGAATTCTGAAATACCACCATTTCATACACTCCCTCCACAATTGATGCTATCTTCTTGTGAAATAATTATACTCTCCTAAACTAAAACGAGTTTGCATTCAGTGTTTTCAGATCCAACCCCGAGTGATCCAGCAAAAGATTTAGACTCATGGCACGCCAAGATCCGTAACCTAATACGTTCGTGGACTATATTATCTGGGCAGGTGATTTAGTCAGATCCGAGTGATCCGTCACGTGAACTATTCGGATTGGATTGGTGACCTGGAATAAGTTTCCGAAAATACCTATAGTATACTCAAGGTGGATTTATGCAGCATCATTTAACAATAATTATCAAGTAACATTTATCATTTAACAAGTAGCAATTAAAAGTTGAACTTCCTGTTTTCAATGAAGGTGTTTATGCATACATTTAACAATTATCAAGTAAGAAGTTGGCCAACTTTCAACTTTCTTACTTCAATTGAACCAGGTTTTCTTCTAGTCCGCAACTATACCTTTTCAACTTCAATTTCGGAATCAGTGAGTTATATTTCGGAAAAAGTAATCTCGATTTCAGAATTGGTTAGTTCGATTTCAGAAATGGTAAACTCAATTTCAGAATCGGTGAGATGAATTTCAGAAAAAGTCCATTCAATTTCAGAAATGGTAAGTTGTATTTCAGAATTATTATTGGTAGGTTCAATTTCAGAAGATGAAATCCTTCTATATGTTTGAAATGTTTTTAATTGCAAAAGAGAAGATTGTTTACAGTGGATAGAATTGTGTTTGAGAGCCCTATGTTGAATCAGATTGAACATATATGGGGTGCCTTCAAGTCAGAAGTGAAGAGCTTCTTGCAAGAGCATCGCCAAAGGGTCATAGCTGGGGATCCGAACAGATTGCTCAACCAGATAGAATTCAGACTGCGATGTCTTGAAGAATGTGCAGATCATTCAATGAAAATGATAACACCTCAAATGTGTTTGCATTCTTATAATCATGTGCAACGCCACTATCTTCCTGCGATTCGGATGGAAGGCATCTGTGGATTAAATTGAGATTATAATTATGTTATTGAATTGTTTTTGGAAAGTTGAATATTTTAAATATGGTTTGTTAATCTCACATTCAATTGGAAACATTTCGAACAAATATTAAAGATTTTTTTCTGAAATTGAACCTATACCAATTCTGAAATACAACTTACCATTTCTGAAATTGAATGGACTTTTTCTGAAATTCTTCTCACCGATTCTGAAATTGAGTTTACCATTTCTGAAATCGAGATTACTTTTTCCGAAATATAACTTACCGATTCCGAAATTGAAGTTGAAAAGGTATAGATGATGAACGCGGATTGGTTTCATCGACTGGTAGAGAAGGCATGGATTGGTCAGACCGATGTCAGACCTGGATATCTGACAGATGCTATGAAATTTGTTTCAACATAAAATAATCGCACTCAACAAAATAATTGTCAATGCAAGTAACCCAGTCTCTTCCAGATCAGAAAACATTTTGAAATTTGAAATTTTAGCTCCTTATGTAAATTGTTAACAACGAATTTTCAAGGTTATGGCTTTGATAGCCTTGTTATAGGGCATATGCGCTTGCGTACTATTCATCCATTAATTGTTAATTTGGTTTGCATAAATGTCAATATTCTCATCACTTGTTAATTGATAATTGTTAAATGTTGCTGCATAAATCCACCTTCAGTTGTTAGTTCTGCAGGAATTTCGCGAATTCGCATCAGCACGACCACCCCGCGAGAACGGCAGACCTCTACAACAACAACAAAAAAACCAAGAGGAAAAACCAGAAACCTCAGTCCTTGTTGCCCGACGTGTCCATCGGACTGGCCGGCTGCTGCGGCGCCGGCACGGCCGGCTTGACGAACCGCTCCGAAGGGCGGCGGTGAGGGGCGGGCGGGCTGCCCGTGCCGCCCCCCGCCGCGTGCAGGGCGGCCGCCGAGGCGCACGCGGCCGCCGTGAGGATCTGGCCGCACGAGTGGCAGCGCGGCGGGCAGGCGACCAGCGAGTCGCGCGGCGAAGGAACTTGGATCGTCGACAGACCTGGAAGGTATTCGTTTCGAAAGGAGTACGTGATGACTTGGAGGAGAATGTTCAGTATTTATTCTAATCAATTTGTCAGGAGTGTAGGGTTGTTGACACTGCTGTTTAGACGTTTTTTGTATATTAGAGAACGGACAATATCGACAAGGAGTGACAGTGAGACATAACTAAAAACAATTTTGAAGTGAATCATAAGTTTTGTCAGACAAGGACAATGTTTTTCTCGCATCTTCCTTCCTGCACATAATCAGGGAAGAGTACATCGGAGTACATCCATATATCTTTCTTTGTCTTTCCTTTTTGAATGAGAGCATAGCGTCTCCTCGAGTGGATTATAGGGTACATTAACCCTCTAATGCATGATGCCTACTAGAGTCCCTGTATATACCTTAGACAAGAGTCCGGACACAGCTATACTTCTGTCCTTTTCTGTTTTCAAAAAATGCATTGATGATTGAATAAAAGACTAAGACATATATATCGAGCTCTGTCTTTTCAATTCCCCGAGTATCAATGATTGTCAGAAACAATTTTGAGGGTTAGATTATTTGTCAAACCGTTCATAGCCGTAGGCAGAAGTGAGAAATAGGGCTGTTTTAACTAGAATAACTATTAGATTTTCAAATAATGAACAACAGGGTGTTCAAATTTCGATTCGATTTTTTTCATAATCAATTCCTGAGATGGCTATTGCAAATTTTCGTCATCAGATATTTCTTCACTTCAATTTGTTCTAGGTGGTATCACATATAGCCAAGAAAATATAGTTGTTTTCTGTTGGGATATAAAAAAATAGAAGATATATAATTGTTTCAATATAATTTTCTCCGATTCTCTCAATTTAATAACACTCAGCAGAAATAAAAGTGACAAAATCAAAACAACAATATATATATACCATATGCCTTATAAACATTGATTTTTATATTTATCTAACATTAGGGACAATGAGATGTCAAAGATCAAATTGATAAACTTTCAATTCCTTTCCGCATCATCTCATTCTCATTTTCTTTCTCTGCGATCGTATCATTCAGTAATGGGGGAGACCACTGATTTTTTAAAATGACATTATCGTGAACTTTATACTGAAAAACTACCGGCGAATTAATTTGGAATTTTGTCATTCATGCTAAGACGATGGAAAAAATAAATTAGAATATGTCCATTTCAAAACACACAATTCCTGCGCCATTTGGAATTTTGTCAATTCATTGGTGTGACTGGTGCGACGTCTTATTCCCAACACGCCTATTGTCCTTGAACTGACCAATCACACTGCAACACTGCAGAATGACGAGGTATCCGAGAGAGATAGCTACAGTTCGGGACTAATACGTCACGACTCCACCATCATATTTGGCTGTTTGAAATATCGAATGAAATGTGCTGATTTCAAAACGATATAGATTCGATTCCCTTCAACTTTAACTCATAATATTGATTGTACATCAAACGTAAATCATGATTCGTCGATTGAAAGAGGTTTGCACGGATTGCTTATCTCAGTGGTCTTCCCCATTCCCAATACGATGACGACGGAACTCTTTTTTTGAACGTCTCTATTTCATAAATCTACGGCACAGCAGACTCTATCAATTTTAAATCCATCAGCTTGAAAGAATCTCTATCAAAATGGGCCTAAAATTCATCCTTTTTGTACTGTTTTCACAAGTGAATTTGAATATTTACCTCATATATTTCATTGCATTCTTCCATGACATTATCTTTGAAGGATCATTCAGAAAATTGAATGAATTGAATCCCTTTTCTAATGAATTATCGCAATAATGTACGCAGCAGGACATTGAAATAATTTAAAATGCTAAATTTTGGCGGTCATAAAATTTCAAAGTGACAGTGATAGAAATTCGAAATAATTAAAAAAGCGGGCGGGACGACTATGGTGTTTCGTCACATTGTCAGGTGGGCAAACAAAATATTAAAAACCCCAACGGCTGTCAGTTTTGTGTCCGGACTCTTGTCTTAGGTATATACAGGGACTCTAATGCCTACTACAGGTGACAAGAGGAATAAGTAGCTACAAGCAATAGAAATATTCCATGTTTCATCAAAAACTATTTTTGGTTGTCAATATTAGACATATTTTGACATATCTCCAAAGAAAATCAGGGGTTCATTCTATATGTTGAATCATATTTGCAATAATGCCGTGCATTTCATGACCTGATTATTTTATTTTTCGTTCCTAGGCTGTTCTTTTTGATGATGAATTGATGAATTCAAAGCAATTACCGACATCCCGGAGGATTCAGAAATTATAATTGCTTTGTATTCCTTTCCAGAAACCAAGTCGGGTCCTGAATTTTTTTATTGGATAATACCTTTTCTCAACTCTCTGCTGCTATATCAATGATATGCAAAAAAAAATGATTTGAATACTTTTGGTCGAATGTAGAGAGTAGGTAATGTGCCAGGACCGAATAGAAGAAATATTCATCAGAATTTTGATCCATGTTTTTTTACCAAATCGGTCAGTGTGCCATACAGATTGGAGAGCCACACTTGTAGCGTTTTTTCTGAGTTGGATAATAGTTTTTGAAGAATACGATCCAGAAGGTCAAAATTTTGACATCTACAAAGGAAATGAGTTTCCCAAGTCCGGCTCTGGATTTTCTTTGCGATAACATAGACGTTCCTCAAATATCGTTCATGAAAGTTTCGGTCTGATATCAAATAATGCCCTGTATTTTTGTTACAAATCGGCAAAATATATTTTCACATATACAATATCAACCTCGATATCAACTCACCTTGACTTCCTCACCCTGTACATGTTAAAGGTGTAATGAACCTCTTGCTGTCCTGATTGTTTCAAATATTCCCATACCATCCTTTCAAACATGAATGGACTATAATGATCAGTGTTGACACAACCTATATAATTTTCGATTCGAGCGAAATTTTATTGACAAAGTTAAGTTGAACAGATTTTTTTCGTAACAAAAATTATATATTCTATCTTGTCCATTTTATGTATACCTTTTGTGAATCATCGCAAATACTATAGTCAGAGTGATATCTGGCAACAGTGCTACATCAGATATTAGTCACCTAAGTCACCCACTGTATACCACATTGAATTTTAATAAGTTACAGGATCAGTCGTAATTTGTGATAGCAGGTTACTGCTTTTAAACTGGTCAACTCATAACAAACCTAATAAAAAATCCGATTGAAACATAATTAATTATATATCGAAGACTGGAACCTTTGGCACGATAATACACTACACTGTTTTACCACTAACCAAACCGATTTTTTAACGCCTCGACACGTGTTTCGCTAACTATGTTAGCATCTTCAGGAGAAGATTAAAACAGTTTTAATCTTCTCCTGAAGATGCTAACATAGTTAGCGAAACACGTGTCGAGGCGTTAAAAAATCGGTTTGGTTAGTGGTAAAACAGTGTAGTGTATAATTAATTATATTATAAATATATCTTTTGGTTTATTTATACTAGTAGTTTCATATCAGCTTAGTTCTCTCTTCCGTGCACGTCCGTCAACGTCAAGTGCCAAACAGTACAACATATGACAGCATGACATATAGAATTATGTTGGGTACACTGAAGTTCAAATACACAGATAGAACATAGAACTTAAACCTTAAAGTTGATTATACAACAATAATAACACATAATATAATAAAAATAATATAGGATATCAATAAATAATGAAAAACTTGTCCATTTTTATAATCAATTGCCCACGAATTACGTATTCAATTTCAACTTTGAACTTTTCTGTTCATTTTTCTATGCATCATATGAACTGTGAGTCCTGTGTTTACTATTGCGTTTTGTGGTTCTGTGGTCCTGAGAATCCTGGGATGGGATATTTTGTAGTCTAACTTCGGCCTGTGCCGTGCAGGTCGCCTTTGGTCTTACCTTAGCACAAAACACTTAGGTTTACTGTGGTCTCACTATGATTCTGTGGCTATTGCTCGCTTGGCTATTCTCTGACACAGAACTACATAATCAAGTAATGCTCAGTGATAGAAATTCTTTGGGTCAGTCAACAACCTCTGAGGAAAATCCAGCGAGATTTGACGAAGATGAGCGAGATTTGACAGAGATGAGCGAGAGAGTAAATCAAAGAAGGAATAAGCGAGATCTCGATCGATCGAGCGAGCTATGGAAATGCTGATAATGATTCTCAATAGTGCCTCAAGTTTCAGAATTGTATCTTCGATCTCAAGGAAATTAACTTAAATACACTTTTGTTTTCAATTTATTGATGTCCATTGTTTAGCACTATATTTCAGGGTTGGCACGAATTAATTCATATGAATTAAGTCAGTGATTTAAATCGTGATTTAATTCAAATGACTTTATTCAAATAAGTCGTGAATTAATTCAAAATTCATCAAATGGGAACAAATCGCATTATTACCTTCAATTTAAACTAGTTTAAAATGAAATATCCGATGGCATCTGACAACTGGCAACCGTGAAGCACCACACGAGGAAAACTAAATTTTCTTAGAGCCGCTTTACAGTTTACAATATTTTATTGCATGCAATTGATTGTTCCAATTCATATTTCCGGCAAAAATAATATGTAGGCTTTTCAACACTGAATCGGAATTACCGGCTTGCAATGTCTTTTTGTCATACATTCTGTGTATTCTGATCAAGAGTTGGGTAGAAGAAACCATGAGAAAGGCAAGAAAAGTAAGATCCAATGTGTATCTAATGATGCCTGAAATTCCGAATATCTAACATGTCACCACTAGAATTGCACCAGTAATACAAATTACCACAATATAAATAAATATTTCCGGACTCATTTCTTGCAATGCATCGAAAAATTGTTTAATTTAATAACTGTAAAGCGCCTCTATAATGGAGATTGTGAATGAGTAATCCAAGTTGCATAAACATCATTTTTCATTCAATCAATAGTCTCAGTTCATATTGCAAAAATGGCATATTTTAAGTATTTATTGTCATGCTTTGAAATTTTCAATGGAAATAAAACTTAGTTTTTGTGATGTTCTTGTATTTTGTTCCAGTGAATAGAATTTGATATGTTCTCAAATGAATTAATTCAAAAAAGTCCGAATTAATTCAAAAGGTCAGACTTTTTTGACTTTTTTATAAAACTCATGACTTATTCCAACCCTGCTATATTTCCAGCATACCTATGTTAACTAATTGGCAATCGATACTTTCTGTCGGTGAATAGCAAAGAAATAAACACTGTTTCGCACTTATCGCCGGTCGGCAAAGACACTGCCATGCCAACGTCAACACCTGCGTGTGAACACGTGCTTTTTATTTCGTTGATTAGTTATCATTGATGAGTAAAAAATGACGCATAACATTTCAATATATTCAGTCGGCTAGCCTTGTTGGTTCTCATAGAAGTTAAAGTTGAATAACAGCAGAATGAACAAAAGAAACAGACTAAATTGATGTTGGGTTATCAAGTAACCCTTATCATGTTGACAAGCTGATTCAAATGGAGGCGAAAATCCACTATCAATTACTTTCGAAGAATGAATAAATCCTAATGCGGCAGAATTTTGAAACATTCTAAGAAAAATACAAGCTAAATCAACTAAAAATTGTTGATTGCGTGTATTGTGTCACCGATCGCTCAACAGCAGGAAACGGACTTGCATTTCAATAAGTTTCCGAATCATTTCCATATGTATGTGTAAATATGTAAGTACATCGATAACTGAACTTACCTGGGCTCAAAGGTCTGCTGTGACTCGGAGAGGGATTATAAACGGGGACCGGAGAAACGGTATGCTGCCTAACGCCCAAAACTTGTTCATTGTAGTGTCTCTCTTCTTCCATTTCTAAGGAACTTTCGCTTTCAGAGAGATGGCGACACAATGCCTCGCGTCTCTCTACTTCCAATTGCAATTTCCGCTGAAGCCTGAAAAATAACGGAAAATCCAACTCAAACAAGAAAACAAGGCATTCTTCAAAGATGAACACAAAGAGTGGCATCAGCTGAAGTTTATGCATATGTTAAGTGGTCTGTGGAATCCTATTATCACAGTAGCCAAGTTACCTGTGAGGTTGAGCCATCCTTACAGTTAAAGTGAAATGTACTTGTTCCAGGGAAAAATCTGGTATACAGGTCCAAGACTGCAAATGGGTCTGGAGCAGGAATATACTCCAAACACCCAGAGACTAACCTCAGCTACTCATTGGGGAAGTACGCTTCCGTTTTTCAAGCAGAGGTGTGCAATTCTCCAATTTGCAGAAGAAAACAACAGGAGAGCCGTGGAAAATGAGCAAATCCGCATTACGTCAGACAGTCAAGAGGCACTCCAGGCAATAGAAAACCAGGAAGTGACGTCTCGACTGTTATGGGATTGCGAGAAAGAACTGAGAACTGTGAACATAAACTTACAAGAATATGGTTGGTCGAGTCAGATCCAGGTCAGCTTCTAGGAATACCAAAACATACAGCACGAGCGTCTGTTAGAAACTGGATTCAGGCGAAACATAAGAGCTACTAGGAAAAAAATCCCTGGAAACAATACCTTGAGGAACCAAGCCATAAAGCAACTAAAGTCCTGGTAAACATGAACAGAGAGAAACTAAAGACCTGGTAAACATGAACAGAGTGCAGATGAAAACTGTCACGAGACTCATGACTAGCCAGGCACCAGTAAAGGACAACTTCGCCAGAATGGGACTGTACAATGGCGACGCAATCTGCAGACTATGCGGAAAGGAACTCGAGACCGCATCACATAATATTACTATGCAGATGCGAGGCATTGGACCCCGCAAAAAAGATATGATTTTTGGGCAACCAGGCGGCGAATCAAAAGAATTCAACTCCAGTGAAGGATTTGTAAAAGCTTGAACAAGGTGCAGAGATACTGGAGTGGTCTTTGAAAGCCCACATCAGAACAGTGATCAACAGATTCATCCAAACTGGAAACGTTAATAAAAAGAAATCAACAGGAAGGACACAAATATCGGAAGAAGTGGTCGAAAATCTAAGGGCGCGTGTTGAGCAAAATCCCCAAAAGTCATTGAAGAGATTATCTTTACAATCTGGTGTGCCACTAAGTACATGCCATAAAGTGCTCAAGAAAAGATTGCATATGCACCCTTACAAGACCAGTGTACTACAGCAACTTCTGCCAATAGATATCCCACGTCGTCTGGAGTACTGTCAATGGTTCCAAAATAATCTCAACGATGACCAGCTATTGGACCTAAAATTTTTCAGCGATGAGGCTTGGTATCATTTGTCGGGATATGTGACCTCACAAAATTTTAGGTTTTGGAGATCTCAGAATCCCCACAATTTCATTGAGACTCCACTACATTCTCAAAAAATTGGGTTAGCAGTTTCTTGTAGGCGAATATATGGATCGATTTTCTTTGATGGCACTATCAATGGTGAAAGGTACAGACAAGTGATGTTAGAACCATTCATCAATCATTGGCCGTGTGATAAGTAGAGGAGTTAATCCTTCTTTTCCAAACGTTCTCCAGATTTGACGCCTTTGGATTCCTGCCTTTTTGGATATTTGAAAGTCGAAGTATTCAAGAGGGACAATAATAACCTTGAAGAGCTGCAAGCCTCAATACACATTGCTGCCAAAATATTGGCCCGGAAATGCTGAGGAACAATTTCGACAACAAAAGGCGAAGAGTTTTGAAATGCTTGGAGAACAACTCGCAAATTCTGCTTTCGCTCGGCTTCGCTAGACGCTCCGCCTCGCAAATGCAAAATTCGCTTGTCTAACAAAGTGTCACTTTTGATCCTAATAAAACAATCTACTATTTCTTCCGTCACTACCAAAGCCTACCTCAAATTCTCCTCCTTGATGTTGCGCTCCTCCTGGACGTACCGCTGCATCTTCTGCGAATGCTCCTGCTGGCTGACGGCCAGACTCGAGCGCAGCCGAGCCACCTCCGATCTGAGCGTCTGGATGTGCGCGCTCAGATTGGAGGCGGCGTCGCCGTTGCTGATCTCGCGCGGACTCGCCGGATCGGAGACGGGCTGGTCCAGCTTGATTTGCAACATGCGCTTCTCGGCCTCGAGCTTGTCCATGCGCTTCCACAGCTTGTTGACCAGCGCCTCTTGCTCTTGTTCCAGCGTGTTCTCCAGTTCGACCTGGTGGGATTTTGTACGTGAAACTGTTTCGCTTATCGTTCAAGTTGGGTAGTTGAAATGGGATTTTATTGAAACCCATTATTGCCCCCTGGATCGGTAACGACCCAATATGTAGAGGTTATTCTTTGGTAGTAGTCCATACTTAAATTGGAGGTGATGAGATAATCAAGAGAACAGACTCAAAGTCCACTCCAAGTAAATTTCAATAAAATATGATACGTGCTTCATGTTTCGACTCCTAGGAGTCATTATCCGGCTAAAATACAAAAAACTTATAAATAAAAGAAGTTCCATTACTATTGTGAAATGGGTGACATACCTTGCAAAGTAGGAGGAGAAAAGAAAACTAAAATTAATAACATGGTTCACAAGGGGTTTAGGCCTCGGTTTAGGCCCCAAATCATTCTAAAAAACATTTTTGAGTTTGGGTTTTTTGAACCCCCAGATAAACATTTCTCTCAAGGTGCTTCTTTTTTTCATCAGAAAACCATCATAGTGTAAAGCAAATGGCACAGACTACGTGATTAGAAAGGTAAAAATGGTAGATAAAAATTATTTTTTGACAAACAAGTGACAAATGTCATCTATCAAATACACAAAACATTGAAGTTGACTCAATGGACCATAACATCAAAGTTCATAACAAAACAAGAACATGTGTCTAGATTGACTAAACACACTTTTAAACACCCGACTTAGTGCTCTTGTCATGATGCAAGGTATGTAACTTGATGAATCTAAACATTCAAAAACACTAACAGTTGCCATTTGTCCGAACTCTTAATTTTGGGGAATTATAATTATCATCAGTTCCAGAGATTTCGCCATCTAACGGGTGAAATGCGACCTATATTCCGCGATATTGAAAAGAATCCTTCTGTCAAATAGGCCGTAGGTGAAGAAATTTGACCGAAAAACAGTAGATGAGATTTGATAGGAGTTTCAAAACCATCTTCTGTTCATCCTGCTCCTGGCATAAATTGAAAGTTAGACATGTTTTCCCGTAATTTTTAATGTCATCACAACGTCATGTAATGACCTTGGCGACCTACCTACCTGCCCAATGACATACCTTCTCTCGTCTGAGTTGTTCGAGGTTGCTCTGCTTGGCGAGCGTCTCCGCCTCCAGCTTCTCGATCTTCCTCATCAGCCGATTGACGAGGCACTCCTGCTCCTGCTCCAGCGTCTGCTCGAGTCGGCACTTCTCCTGTCGCAGCTGCGTCAGCTTCCTGGACAGATCGTTGGTGAGGCACTCTTCTTCCCGCTCATAGTGGTGCGCGAGAGATTCCTTTTCTTTCTTGAGCGCTTGGATCTTCTTCAGGAGAGTGTTGGAGATGAACTCTTCTTCTTGTTCTGCTTTAGCTTGCTGCAATGCATGGAGTTTTGTGATACCTACCGAATGTCTGTCACAGAAATGAATTGGTCACCAGAATCTAATTGAAACCTATAAATGACCATGTGTAATCTCAATTTGTTCAAAGAGTAAGGTGCTACTTCAAATTGGCTGAACAAAGCTTCCACATCGACTAGAAATGATATATCTGACCTACTAGAAAAATTGGAACACCCTAGCAACAGAATGTGTAAAAATATCTGGAATATCAGATACAATAAAAAATCTGACCTTCCTCATGGTTGACAGCAATGAGACCACTGATCAAACGATTTCAAGATATCAATTTTGATTTAACCTAAGTCGGAAAATATAAAATCAATGGGTATTGGTGATAAACTTTTGTTCTTATCTTGCTTTAGCTTGTTGGAATGCATGAATCATATTTTCATGCATCAGGTGTTATGATACCTACCAAATGTTTATCACAAAAAGGAATGTAATGTATGACGAAAATTTTGGACACCAAAACCAAATTGAAACCTGTAAACTATCATATGTAATTTGTATGAAAATTTTATAACTTCAAATCTTCTAATGGGCGTGTACACCTTGGTAGAACTTCTAACGCAAACCATGTTTATAATGATCCTTTTATACATAAATAATGATTGACGACATGATTCGATCGAAAAATTAACTGGAATGTTTTATTTTTGGACATAAATTATAGTACCTTCTGAAAACGGACCGCTCTTATGACGTAGAAACCTCATCTCGCTATAGTTGAAAGGAAATTCCAAACGCCAGACGGAGACTGAGGCAACTGATATATTAATTCTTTCAACTGTGATCTCGCGCTGATTCACTCTGTCAGAAATCATGTATCCATCTCTGTCTGGAATAGTCTTGTTTCAGTATTAGGGTTTTGACGTCACATCATCGCCTCGTTTCCAGAGGTCCGAAAAATCGAGGATTTAAATAATTTTTTATAAAACGTAGGGAGCTCACAGCAAGAAACGGTTTGCGGTGGTGAGCTAGATTGGTTCTAGTTCTATCGAGTTATGATATAAAAAATTTTTGTGATATAAGCCCATCGTTCAAAGGGTTATATACTACTTCAAAGTAGCTGAATAAAAGTTTCACATTGACTAGAAATAAATAATCTGATAAACTAGAAAAATGAGAATACCCTAGCAAGAGAGAGTGCAAAAATAACTGAAATATCAGTTACAGACAGCAAATGAAAGTCTGATGTTCCTCATGACTGACAGCAAAGTGATAACACATTTCAAGATATAATTTGTGAATTAACTAAAGACAATGGAGCAAAATGATTCATTAGTGGAAAAAAAGGAAAAAATATTGTTCAATATTTCCAGTTCTTCCACTAATGAAAGAGCTGCGTCAGCTTCAGCCCTTGGATCTTTTTCAGGAGAGAGTTGGAGATGAACTTTCCTTCTTGTTGTGCTTCAGCTTGCTGGAATGCATGAATAGGGCACTGCCAGTGACGTAAAAATGTCGGCCATTGAACAGCTGATGGAAAGAGTATAAACATTTTCCGTAAGGGAACAAGTAACTTTCTTGTGCATTTTCCACTATGATACAATAGAATAAGAAAAGTGAATGATTTCATGTTCAAAGAAGAGTTCAAATTAGTTTATTTGTCAATTTGAGAATACTGGATTCACTTGAAGTTCAGCTCTAATATACCTAATAGGAATACCATATAATATACCTCAATAGTTTCTTGTATGTATAATATCAACAAGTTCAACAAAATTACCAATGGGTCGGAAAAAATAAAATAATAAAAATTCACAAACAGCTTTGTTTGTTCCATGATCAGCTGAAAAAACGACCAGTGTGGATATTATGACGTCAGGTGACACTGCTCTCTCATGAGGCCTGTTCATTTGTGTCTTTAGTGATGGTTAGAGCTAGATTAGAGCCAGCCCAATCAGATCAATGACGTCACAAAGCGGATTGTAGTTGGACAGGAAAAATTAGCAAAGTGCATTGGCTACAAACGAACACTTTTGACTCAGCCTTAAATATTTTTGAGGTTGATAATCATTTATGAAATTCTGAAAATGACATCAATTCTTATGATGGGATTTTTTTTCTACCCACTAGACCAGCTTCTAAAATAACAATAATGCATGATTTCCAAAATAATATCCTTTCTTCTCTTTTTTATACCTATATAGGTGATTAGCATTCATTTAAAAAATAATAATACTCATTACCTATTCATTAGGACGCTCACTAAAGCATCTATAAAGCATCTAAATCCATATAAGTTGGTGAAACTCCTGATATTTTCAAAATGTTTGTTGTTTTCAACTCAATTTGCTGTTTTTTCAGGTAATTGTAATTCGTAACTCACTGAACTGATCAGATTTTCTTGCTGGATTATTTCTTTATGGTAATCTAATAATATCAAATCTTCATTATTGTTCAAAATGTTGGGTACTACTTCAAAGTAGCTAAATTAAGCTTTCACATATATAAAAATTAAAGACTCTGGCCTAGTGAAGAGAATGTACAAAAATATATGAAAGATCAGATACAGCAAAAAAAATCTGACCTCCCTCTAACATCATTTCAAGATATCATTTGTGAAATAACTGAAGTCAATGGAAAAAATAATTCAATAGTGGAAACAATGAAAAAAATATTGTACTATAATTCCACTGTTTCTCCACTTATGAAACACTCATAGTGCTTGACTCTTCTTCAGGAGCATGTTGGAGATGAACTCTTCTTCTTGTTCTGCTTTAGCTTGCTGGAAAGCAAGAATTATGTTTTCCTGCATTGAGTACTATGATACCTATCAAAGTTCATTTCACAGAAATCAATGTAATGTATGAGACTCAGTATGAAACCTATGAAGGACTTGTGAAGGACCATGATGTACTTATGGAAATTTGATAATATCAAATCTTCAATCTGTCCAAAGAAGCTGAACTGAGCATTCATAAAGATAAGGAATGAAAAATCTGATCTACTAGAACAGCTATGAGAATACTGATCACAAAATTTCAAGGTATCATTTGTGAACTACCTGGAGTTGGACAAAATTCAATATTGAAAAAACTGAGAAATTTTCGTTATTTCACTCTCTATTTCAACTTGTGAAAATTTATAAATCAGACAATGAATTGGAATTTTTCCAACCATCCTCCATTTCAAAGGACCATTGTTCATATTTGTATTCACTTACTCTTTTGACTTGACAAATGATGATTAATATCCTTTAAAACTAAACAATGGTAGTTCAAAAGTCACTTATTTAGTGAAATGAAAATCTCCAATTCATAATTCCATTTATTTCTTCATTTCTAAATGGTAAAACAGTTAGGAATAGTTGAAATTACTAGTGAAATCCTTTCAATTCGACTTGACTTATATCAGAAAATACCTATAATTCTCCTGCTCCATGGGCTTTTCATGCCAAACAGAAAAAAGAATCCTCACATATTAATTTACTCTATATCTCTACTACAATATCTCAGAGAAAAAAATGATTGTATTTATGTAATGCTAAGGGTAAATATATTGTACAAATCATTGTAGTACTCACTACTTATTCAATCATTTTTTCTGATAAAGATGAAATAATAATATAATGTCAGCAACTGATTTGTAACATATTTTTTAATGACTAAATAGATATAGGAACAACTATTCAATTTCAGTGTTTATATATTCAATGATGGTTCTATACCTTTTTCTTATGAGGAAATTTCAATAATACATCAAAGCAATAGGAAGAATAGGAAAATGAAATGATATCATCCATTGTCCATCCATGTGTCCATGTAGCATTGGTCATACTCAGGTGTTATTGACCAATGAAAAATTTTATTGCAAAAACTTACACCACCTTCTTCATCAAGATTTTTATGGTTGGTCATGAGGTTGATAACTATACATTTACCAATGATGTATCATCATTGATTCATTACATGGTCATCAATATAGTGATTATTTTTCTGATTGTGTTATCCTACCAACATAGGATTTCAATAATCTTTTCTGGGAATACTGTTGAATACCAACAATATAATATTCATAGAATAAATGAATAAAATGGAAAAATGTTCAATACAATAAGGCTTTTTGGGTGTCAGTTTGTCATCAAAGTGATATAAACCAGAATACATTTTCATTGTCCAAATATCAAGTTTATTAATATAAACCACCCAAATAGCAAAAAAATCAGTAATTTTTATCTCCTTTGAATTAGAGATACCAGTGTGAATAGATTCAGAATCCTTGTGAAATTTTATGTTGATCTAGATTACTTTTGATGAGAAATCCAACAATTCTTGGATAAGAGACATAAATGTGTATAGATTGAGAGTCCTGAGACATTTTATGTAGATCTAGATAGTTTCAAACTTGGTTTCAAATGAGAGAATAAGCAATTTTCCTAATGGTACAGAATCAGCTATAGAAGGATCATCTGGACAATGTTGATGAGTTCTTATCATATAAAATGATAAACACTAGCCCATAACAATACTGGAGACAATACCCAAGAGTTGCTGTTGTACATATTTCAAAATCTTCTTTCATTCATCTATAAATTGTCTGCCAGTTACTAAAAGATTGTCATGGAGATTGTTATTATAATTGAGATGGTCATTATGATCTATATCTACACAAAAATATGGAAAATAATAATTATTAACAATTTAGAACAGTTTTTCTACAAATGACATATTTTCATATTTTTTGTTATCCCAATTTCTTAATGAAAATATACTCACTATTATTACAGATGCTTTACGCAAATCTCTATTCTCTTCCTGTAAAGCCTTCACCCTCAGTTTGTATGTCTCTAGCTCACATTTGAGTACTCTATTCTGCTGTTGAAGACTCTCTATGCGCTTTTGCAGTTGTTCTCTAGTGACCGGGCTTGGCGGCATCATGATGGGGCCCCCATCTATGCTGCTCGAGTCCGATTCACTAGCAGAATCTGCCATCTTCTCCACTATGACTATTTGTCGAGACAGCCTGACAACAAATTTATTGTTTTTTTATTAGTCAATAATCTAGCGAATTTAGATGCAGAATCTGAAAGACGAATGGAACATTTTTTTAGGTAGAATACCGAATGTCAAATTCACAATTGACCACCAAAAAGACCGAAACCGGACCAAACACCAACTGACACGACTAGTTTAGTTTATAAATATCACAGAATAAGGATTATAAATGAACGCCGAACAATGAAAAATGCAAGTTCATAAGGAAATACAAGAAAAATTCGGAAAAATTATTCTTTTACGACGGTTCTTCGAAAAGTGGAAGTGGTAGAACGGTAAGGAAATGGAAAAGGAAGGGAGACGAAGAAACCACAAAGCACTTGGAACCAATTGATATGTCATTGTGACTTATGACAGATGACAATGCCACTATTTTTGTTTTACGCCACAATATTTGAACTCTCAAGTTACAACAGAACACAACCCACAACCATTTTTTTTGCTCTCACTGGCATATAATATCAACTCCATACATATATCCTCTTCGAACATTATAGGGATTTCCTTTCGTGCGTTCCATGGAAAGATGTATTTTTCCAGGCTGTGACAATAGAAAAAAAAAAGAATAAGAAGAAGAAGAAGAAGAAGAAGAAGAAGAAGAAGAAGAAAAAGAAAAAGAAAAAGAAAAAGAAAAAGAAAAAGAAAAAGAAAAAGAAAAAGAAAAAGAAAAAGAAAAAGAAAAAGAAAAAGAAAAAGAAAAAGAAAAAGAAAAAGAAAAAGAAAAAGAAAAAGAAAAAGAAAAAGAAAAAGAAAAAGAAAAAGAAAAAGAAAAAGAAAAAGAAAAAGAAAAAGAAAAAGAAAAAGAAAAAGAAAAAGAAAAAGAAAAAGAAAAAGAAAAAGAAAAAGAAAAAGAAAAAGAAAAAGAAAAAGAAAAAGAAAAAGAAAAAGAAAAAGAAAAAGAAAAAGAAAAAGAAAAAGAAAAAGAAAAAGAAAAAGAAAAAGAAAAAGAAAAAGAAGAAGAAGAAGAAGAAGAAGAAGAAGAAGAAGAAGAAGAAGAAGAAGAAGAAGAAGAAGAAGAAGAAGAAGAAGAAGAAGAAGAAGATGAAGAAGAACCGATTCTCTGCTCTGCAACCTTCTATCTCACAATCTCCTACAAGTTGGGTATTTGTCCATCGAAAATAGCGAGTCCAACAAATTTCATTGCAAATCCCCAATATAGTGCGTTATGTTAGCACAAGAATATTGCTATTCTGGCTACCAGCATGAAATTCGGTACACATGTTGATGAATATATAGAAAACAAAAAACCAACGGGACACACGCTGTATCTGGAATATTTCAGCCGCCATTTTTAAAAATGGCGACCGAAAGCTGGATTTTTGCTAATATCTCCAGAACGGTGGAAAATATCGGGAAAGTTCGAAGTGATGAAATATAGAGGATAGTAAGGCGGACATTTTTTGTTCGAAAAATTTTTTTGTCAGACGAATCAAAAATCCAATAATCGAAATATTAAAATTAAATTTTTCAAGGTTTCTCAAGAAAAAAATAAGATGGAAACATTTAGTCTAAGATTCGCCACAGAAATCATGATCATGAGTTATCTGTATGATGAACTCTTTCTTGAGGATTCAAACCGCGAAGGTGCCATTACGTATGGTCAATTATTTTAATCTGAATAAAATTATATATCAATCATGTTATAGGCTTGCTTCAATTAGGTTCGGTCAGATCAGTAAGAATCTTGGTGAAGCAACTAATACAACAGTATTACAAATAATGTTCATTGAGTACACTGTCCATCACACGTACACTGCAAATCAAATCTATTGCATTTGCAGTTCTTAATACACATTGTTTTGCATCTGCAGCTGATCAATTCTGTACATTCATCAGATGCTTGTGGCAAAACTGTCCAAAGTGGTTCAATCGTTTCATCTTGACATTCTAGGTTTGACGACTTCCTTCCCCAGTTAGTTGCATTTGGAATATATGGTTGCAATTCCAGGCATTTAATCCAAATTCGCGACTGAAGCATTGTTCTCCTCAGGTGTTGACGCAATGCTCCTTCGGTTGGTGGAATATTCTCCACACTTCGATTCTTCTGAGTGTATATAGAACTCTTCTACACTCACTGACTGTTTCTGTCTGGCTGGTAACATCATACATCATTACAGTGAAAAGCTGAATCTTATCAAAATCTTCTTCAGTTATTATATCTGTTGATGACAGTCGGATGAATACGTCAGTCATTCCTTGCATCTTTCCCCATACATTCCAAGCTCTCGTTTTACCAATACCATGAATCGATGATACCATATCACATCCTGTATACGCATGAAAAAATGGTAGTGCAGCACATTTTTAAACAGAGAGTGAGAGATCAAAGTGGGTATACCCACAGCCGTCTGATAGTTGAAGACGGCTGTGGTATACCGGGTAAGGCATTTATATTGAGACAAAATTATATCTCGGTTCGACTCGATTATTTCGAAAGACATTTCAGACAAATAATGCAAGGCCAATGATTTCCAATCCAAATGGGTGCTGAACAATGGGTGTTTCTATTAAAAAAATCGACTTTTGCTCTAAAGGCCCCACTTCCGGTGTAGTTCAATATTTCTCAGATTTTTTTTTCGAAATGTTCGATTACAAGCGAGATATAATTTTGTCTCAAGATAAATGCCCCACCCAGTATATTGTAGAGTTAAAAAAGATCTTCTATATTTCTAGATGAACACGTGTGTATGAAGAATTTTTATGAATAGGTAGGGATACTTGGTAACGGGGTAATTGTAGGTATTTTAAATGATTTTTTGAGAAAACGAGGATTTTCCACTGAATATATTCAATTTATTGACTTTAATATCAGCCTCACAAGAAAATGTTTGAGACAAAAAATGTCCGCCTTGTAATGTTCTTAAATTCATAAATTTGAACTCTTTCAAATTTTTGCATCGTTCTTGAGATATCAGCAAAAATCTAGTTTTCGGCCGCCATTTTAGAAAATGGCGGACGAAATGTTCCAGACACAGCTTGTGTCTCGATGGTTTTTTGTTTCCTATATATTTCTCATCAGGTATGCCAGATTTCATGCTGGTAGCCAGAATAGCAATATTCTTCTACTTTCTTGGACCAACCCAACGCACTAATAAAGAAAACAAGAACGATGTCTAATAACTATAGGCCATTTGCCGTTACCGGCCATCTACAAAGTGATGGAGAAAGCCATCAACAATGAGCTCATCAAATATCTGGACAACTAACTGCATGGAGATTTACTTGCCTACGTCACCCTATCGTTGTCTCCAAGTGAGATGTTTATAACCATTTTATAACTAAAGCATCTCATCTCCAAGCAAGGTGGATAGATATCCACCTTTTCTCCAAGAATGTCTGTGATTCATAGTGGAAAATTACTCATGATAACAGGAAAATTTAAAATATCGAAGGGTCTATAAGTAAAGAAAAAACATAAACGCAAAGTCGGTCGACCACAAAGTTTAATTACAAAAAGATTTTTGTGACTAGTTTCGGCTCAAGCAGCCATCTTCAGACACAGTATATTCACCTGACTGAATTTTGGCCAATGACCCTTGCAATTTAAAATTTTTCACCTGACTGAATTTTGGCCAATGACCCTTGCAATTTAAAATTTTTCAATTAATCAATTATGTGTGATTCCACGTGTACTTTATAGGTACTATATACTGTGTCTGAAGATGGCTGCTTGAGCCGAAACTAGTCACAAAAATCTTTTTGTAATTAAACTTTGTGGTCGACCGACTTTGCGTTTATGTTTTTTCTTTGAAAAATCTGGACCACTTTGAGAAGGATGGATGGTTTCCATGACTGGTCTATAAGTAGCTGGAGCTATAGTCGTGATGATATCATCAAATTCCATTTATTTATGTACTGTTTCAATAAATCCTGAGTTCAAACTGGACTGGAACTCAAGTGGAATTCAGTCATTAGAATGGCCAATGGCCATGATTTTGAATTAGGCGCCATAATTTACTTTTACTATACAAATTATCATTAGCTCTACCAACCTTAGTTTTCTAGGGAAACATTGGAGGAGTCATTTTACATTGTTCTTCAGCGCATGTTATAGCCGTTTAGGATTACTTCGGCTATTCTATGCTAGATGGCTGTAGCATCCAGTGTCTTGAGTGTATTGTGCGATGTATATTATTGTACCCTTGATTATTTACTGTAGTCTATTAATTGTATAAAATCACTGTAGTCTAGTTTACAGTGAAGAGTCTGATATAGTTCTAGTTTACTGTAGCTGTAGTCTACATAGTTATATCCAATATTCCTGCTTCTTCATGCTTCATGGGAACTGGGACACAGATTAACAAACCTTATTTGTTAATCTGTAATAAGACCACTCAATGGCGAATGGATATTCACCCATCTTCGAGATTATGAAGCTATAACTATATGGTTATTTTTAACAAGTTATACGGTATAATATATTTCTGTATACCTATATCACTATATGAATCTGGTCACTAGAAAAACATATTTCACTCTTCGTGAACCAATTTTTTATGCGTCACTAGGTATATTAGATGCACGATAACACAAGTATAGTACCTATAGTACCTAACGAAGATTACAAAAGTTGAACAAACAGAAACTTTTTGTTTTTTTCTAAAAGCGGTTGCTGATACGGAAAAACTATATAAAGTGGACAAAAAAGATTCAAAAAGAACCATATATATAAATTGCATCTTATTTTTTGGAATCCAGGGTGAATAAAGTGATGTGACCCCTGATCTTCCTGTAGATTTTCAAGATCTTTAGCTCCAATATATATAGGTACCTACAGCGTTAGCTACCATTCCATATTCGAGCCGGATATCCTGAAAACTGCATTATCATCATCAGGAGCTATAATGAAGAAACTGAAAAAATCTTCAAATTTCAACCCTCTGTTACTCGAAAAACCAATAAAGAGTTTTGGTTATAAATGCATGTGCAAGTGCGTC